GCAACAGGGATGGACCTAGAGATTATCATACTAAGTAAGTCAGAAAGAGAAAGACAAATACCATACGATATCACTTATATGTAGAATCTAAAATATGACACAAATGAACTTATCTACGAAACAGAAACAGACTCACAGACATAGAAAACAGACTGGTAGTTGCCAAGGAGGCGGGAGGTGGGGGAGGGATGGATTGGGAGTTTGGGGTTAGCAGATGCAAACTATTATACATAGGATGGATAAACGACAAGGTCTTGCTGTATAGCACAGGGAACTATAACCAATCTCCTGGGATAAACCATAAGGGAAAAGAATATGAAAAAGAATGTATATATAAGTGAATCACTCTGCTGTAGAGCAGAAATTAACAAAACACTGAAAATCAACTATAATTCAGTAAAATAAGTTTTTTTTAAAAAAGGAATCCTTTCCTTTCCCTATGTCATAAAGGCCTTCCATGGCAGTTACACATTCAGGCTCTCATTCCATCTGGAGTTTGTTGTTATGGAGTGTGAGGTGAGGGTCTGGCTGCCCTTCCCTGCAGAGAGTCGGCCCTCTCAGCACCGTTTACTGAACTGCCCAGACTTCCCATCCACATGAGCCTCTTCTGCTTACATACAAGCTCCCACATATGCCTGGGTTGGAGTCAACTCCACCGATGGACCAGACCATCACTGGGCCAAGGCGGAGCTGCTGTGATCACCAAGGCTTATGGTGGCAGAGACGCTGCCCATCTCCCTTCTCAGAGTCGTCTCTGGTATTCCAAGACCCTACTCTTCCTTTGTGTGATTTCATACTCCATATCAAAACCTATCAGCACTTAGGTTGCTTCCATGTCCTGGCTATTGGAAACAGAGCTGCAGTGAACATTGTGGTACATGACTCTTTTTGAATTATGGTTTTCTCAGGGTATATGCCCAGTAGTGGGATTGCTGGGTCATATGGTAGTTCTATTTTTAGTTTTTTAAGGAACCTCCATACTGTTCTCCATAGTGGCTGTATCAATTTACATTCCCAGCAACAGTGCAAGAGGGTTCCCTTTTCTCCACACCCTCTCTAGCATTTATTGTTTGCAGATTTTTTGATGATGGCCTTCTGACTGGTGTGAGGTGATACCTCATTGCAGTTTTGATTTGCATTTCTCTAATGATTAGTGATGTTGAGCATCCTTTCATGTGTTTGTTGGCAATCTATATATCTTCAGATGAATGGATAAAGAACATGTGGCACATATATACAATGGAATATTACTCAGCCATAAAAAGAAATGAAATTGAGTTATTTGTAGTGAGGTGGATGGACCTAGACTCTGTCATACATAGTGAAATAAGTCAGAAAGAGAAAAACAAATACCGGATGCTAACACATATATGTGGAATCTAAAACAGAAGATGGTTCTGAAGAACCTAGGGACAGGACAGGAACAAAGATGCAGACATAGAAAATGGACTTGAGGACATGGGGAGGGGGAAGGGTAAGCTGGGACAAAGTGAGAGAGAGGCATGGACATATATACACTACCAAGTGTAAAACAGATAGCTAGTGGGAAGCAGCCGCATAGCACAGGGAGATCAGTTCAGTGCTTTGTGACCACCTAGAGGGGTGGGATAGGGAGGATGGCAGGGAGACGCAAGAGGGAGAAGATATGGGGATATATGTATACGTATAGCTGATTCACTTTGTTACAAAGCAGAAACTAACACACCATTGTAAAGCAATTATACTCCAATAAAAATGTTAAAATAATTTTTTTAATTAAAAAAATACTTTGTTAAAAAAAATGAAGTAATACCACATGGTTTGAACAGTAAATGCCAATATGTCAAATTCCACTATTAAAAGATAAAAATTCCCAAACTGTCAAAATCAAAAATAAATAAATAGCTCATACCTGGCTTAAAAAAAAAAACAAAACCTATGGGTACCACAACTAGGCGACACTGAATTTACACGTTAATTCAGGGGACCTGTGACAGTCAGCCCTCCCATTAAGAACATAATCTGTCTCTCCATCATTCAGGCCTTCTTTCTCCCAATGCTTCTTTAAATGTTTTGTAATCTTCTCCACGAAAGTCTCGCGCTACTCTAAGATTTATTCCTAAGTCTCTAACAGTGCCTATGCTGCAGGGAATTATAATTCCTCTCATCTTTGCAGCTGTGGCCACTGTCGGGCAGCTCCTGTTGATCAAGCACCCACTCAACTCTCTCATTAGTTGGTCTCCAGGTTCTCTCGGATTATCCTTGTGGCTAATTTTGTCATCTGTCAAGAGTGACATTTGACTCTTCCCAATTTTTATTCCTTTTTTTGTAAATTGTGTTGCATTATCTGGGGCCCCCAGGGCCAAAAGAGGCTCATTTGTCTTGTTCCTGATGATGCATATTTTTAAATGGAGCGGATCCAGAGCCTTTATCAGACTCTGAAGAGGACCCACAATTCAAGAAAGGTGAAAAACCACTGGTCTAATTTACCTTTGCACCACATAAAATAAACAGAATCAGGTTATCAATTGTATGAAAGAAAGAAAGTAAAGCAATGAAGCCAGAACTTGAGCGCAGCAAAGACTCAGGAGAAAAAGGGTCAGGGCAGGTACCGGGCATAACACTAACTGCCCATGAAGGGTTTGGGGAAAGAGTCACCCAAAGGAGACCTGGGACCAGAGAACGCAGCAGGAGACGAAGTGGACGAATCGTAACTGTTGGAGGTGACACACTCTTATTGTGTGAACACAAACAGCTTCCAGCCCGCGCTTCACCGCAGTTCACTCACCCATAAATCAAAGCGAATAATATCTACATCTTATTTATGAGTCACAAATTCTCCTGGCTGAAAAAGGCAAATAAGGTTTTTAAAGAGTTCTTAGTGAATAGGTAGAAGGTGGAGTGCTCCAGGCCTTTTCCACATTAGCAATGCACTTGGGGGAGGTGGGCAGGAAAGCGGGTTTGGGAATAAAGAATAACAGGCCCTCCTTGAGTAACTGCAAGTGCGCGTGCGCGCGCGCGCGCGCACACACACACACACACACACACACACACACACACTCGCCTGACACAGCTCGTATCCCAAACCAACCAGCCCCTCCGTTTGAGAGTGCCTCCAGCAGCAGCCCCAGAAGCACGCCCACCAGGCTGAGCGACCACGTTGTGTGCAGTCCACCCTGGCTGCCCTGGACCAAGTGGGGCGACCCTGAAATGCTCCCCCAGAAGGTCCCGGGTGGAGGGGTGCACACCCTGAGCAAACTTCTCTCCCACAGGCAAAGTGAGGACTGCGGACTTCATGCACAAGCAACTCAGTGAGTCAGACAGAAATTGTTTCAAAGATCGGGCGTGGCCAGGGGACTGGCATTTCTGATCCCCAAGGACAGGAGTCATGAGGGGGAGTCACCATGCCTCTCTCCTGCAATGTCCAGGAGCTCTCCACTCAACTTCAGTTCCCCTCTGCTCATTTAATTGTAAGAGCCAGAAACCCAGGCACTTTGTAATTTGTAATTTGCCACGCCATTTAAGAGTCACTTTTAGCAGAAGACAAATTGCTGGACCATCTGGGCAGAGCAGCCAAGTTTAGCAGGAGCTGGGGCCCTAAGCCAACAGGGCAAGCAAGGCGCCGGATGGACCCTGAGGAGCCCCTTCTTCAGTCTGGACCATGAACCAGGGAGACTTAGGAACCACAGGGAGAATTGAAGCCAGTGCTACCCAAATGCAAATCTTAAATCACAGGATGTTTGGACAGACTTGAGTGGTCAAAATACAACAAAAAAAGATATACAAAGGATGTGATGGGTTCTTTCAGACACACTCTAACCTGCGGTGTGAAGTACAGCTGCAGCAGGTAGAATCCACTTTTCCCAAAGGTGGCACATCTCATATTAGCAGCATCTGGACTAGACTCAGGATGCAAAGAGATGTCATTTACATTAGGGCCGCACCACACTTTGCTGGCTTCTGTCACGGATAACGATGAAACTGAATTTAACGCCACTTGGCAGTAGGGCTTGAGTTATGAGCGCGCACGTCCCTGTCACTCCATTTGATCCTCTAAGTGTGTAGTTTGTAGGAGACTTGTTCACTGCACAGAGAGGTCCACTGGTAGGACCGCACATTTGAGGCTGCTGCGGCCCCTCCCCCCGCCATAAATCAGGATCAACCTGCCCCACTGCCACCCTGCAGGGTTGGAGCTGGAAAAAGGGACCGGCCACCGAGGTCCTTTGGAGTTATGCAGCCTCTGTGCCCGGAGTTTGTCCCCTCTTGCTAACTGACAGCAGTCCTGAGGGCGAGGCCACGGGAGGACGCCTGGCTCCCCGGCCAGGGTCAGGCCCGGCAGGTGCCCTGCGGCCAGAAAACACAGGATCGTCGCAACCACTGCGCACGTACGCACTGTCACTGTCCGGACAGATGGAGAAGACAGGAAGTGACTTGCCTAAGGTCATACATCTGGTCCGCAGAGAACTACCATCAGAACCCCGCGCGGAGGCCCAGAAACAAAGCCAACTCCCTCCACCCCCGCCGTCGCCGCCAGAAGCCTGGAGGGGTTTCAAACGCGGGACCGCAGCCTCCGACCCTCGGCGCGACTGCCCGGTCCCGCGCCTCCCGGGCGCAGACACCGGCCGCCCTCCCTCCGGGAGTCGCGGACACCTAGGGAGCGCACGTCACCCCCGCAACCGCCTGCCCCTCCGGCGCGCGCACAAGTTCCTGAGCCCCGCGCACAGGTTCCTGAGCCCCGCGCGGCCCGTCGAGGTCAGAGGGCCCGGCGCGGAGAGGCCGGGGTCGGCGGCGGGACAAGCTCGGGGGACACGGAGGACGGCTCCCGCCACGGGCTCCCCTCCCGCGCGGCTGGGCAGGTGCCCGCGCCCGGGGCGCTGACCCCATAGCGCCGGGCCTGCCCCGGCGTCCCCGCCGAGGGCCCCGCGCGCCGCGCTCCCAGGCGACTCCCTGCAGGGCGGCCCCTCGCGCCGCGCCCGCCGGAGGCCGGGAAAGTTTCGGGCGCGCGGGCCGGTCGCACTCACCTGGCCCAAGTTGAGGTAGCCGTGCGCCGCGGCCACGCGGTCCGCGGCGCCCGGGCCGCCCAGCACTTGCACCGCCCAGTGGTTGGTGTAGACGGGGCGCGGCGGCGGCGGCGCGGAGCAGGCGGCGGGCAGCGCGAGCAGCAGCAGCCAGCGCCAGGGGCGCGGCGCGAGCGGCCGGAGCCCGGGCCCGCCGGCGCCCGCCGTGTCCGTGTCGGTGTCCGCGTCCCAGGCGGCGGCGGGGGCCCGGGGCGGCGGCCGGGGCCCTGGCGCGGGCGGCGCGCGCGGAGGCATGGTAACGACAGGCTCGCTCGGCGCCCGAGCGGCGAGTGCGCCAGGGGGTGGGGTGCCGCCTTTTAAAGCCGCTCCGCGCCGGAGAAGCGCCGCCGCCACCGCTGCGGGCGGGAGCGAGGGAGGAGGGGACGGCCGCCGCGCGTTCCCGCCCGCGCGGCCCGGCGGCGCCCTGGCCCGCGCTCAGCGGCCCGCACCCCACCTTCGCGAGGCCGGGGCGAAGCTCCCGCTTGGAACTTCCCGCAGACTTCGGGGGCCCTCGGGACACGCGTTCCACTGGCGTCCGGGAGGGCCCGGGTCGTCTCAGGTGAGTCCCGTTCCCAGCCTGGCGGGCTGGGGGCCGGCGCCCCCCTCCGGTAGGGCAGCCTGGCAGCCTGGGGGCTTCATTTGCCTGATGGTGTTTTGACCTGCGTGCGAGGCCTTGCTCTTGCTCTTCCCTGCGTGAGACAAGCGGCTCGCCCTAGGTCCTGGATTCTGGGGGAAGAAGCCACAAGGAAAGACAGGTCAGGGCCCGTTCAGAGCTAGGCCTGATGGAAGGGGCTTGGTGAGGGGGGCAAAGACGTTTGGCAGATTAGCTGGCTTCGGGAGGAACCTCGGGGGACAGCCCCCAGGTTGCAGCCCACTGGGGGGTAGACGGTGCTGTGGATCCCAAGCTGTCCAGTTCCTAGCTGTGTGATCCTGGGCAAGTTGCTGTCCTTTCTGAGCACTGGGCTCCACCTGTGATTGCGGGTGACAGTAGTTATCTACCCCGTGGGGCTGTTTAGGGCATGACATGAGCGCTGGCCTTGCAATCGGATGTTGATAAATGTTATATGAGCGCAGGGCCTGCCGCATGGTAGGTGATCACCAGCTGTGTAGACTCTTAAAAGCTCCCGCTGACCTGGGACCAGTCAGTGGGAAAGTAAGTGGAATCATCTTGGCCCCTGCTGCCTGGAGCAGCCTAGAATCCAACAGAGACTTATTTGGTGCACCTGGAGAGCTGTAGAAATGTTCACACCTGCAACAGGTGAATGGCAGGATCTCTTCTCCCATTCCTCCCAAGGGGTGTTGGTCCCAACTGGCCACATGTGGAAAGCAAGCCTTTATTACCCTGATTACTACCGGCTGGTGAAGAAACAAAAACTAGGCCAGCAAGGCCTTGAGGTGGGAAGGGAATCGTGCCCTGATGGTCTGTCTCCAGGAGCAGCCCCTTGCCTTCGGGCTGCTGTAGAGAGCTCACTGTGCGAGACTGTGGCGTGGCAGGTGGAAAGGTCGGTGACGAGGGGCAGGAGCAGGTGGGGACAGAGCAGGACCCATGCCGATGGCTTCCCCGGGTCCTTTCCAGCCTCACTCTCAGGAGCCCTTCGGTTTCGTAACCCACATGATTCATCCTTTCTGCTGGCGTGAGTCACCCCAGTGGAGGTGGGAGAACAGGGACCAGCCAAATTCTTGTTCACAAGTGCTCCTGCCAGGGGCCCCTCTGGAACCTGGGGACTGAATTCCCACACTTTCTTCCCTTTTCTGCACTAAAGCAGTTTGTCCTCCCTTTCCTCCCCTGGCCAAGTGGGCTCAGCCCACGATGCAGAATGCAGGCCCTGAGTTTCCCTCCTGCAGATGGCCTCACCCTGCCCACGTGAGAGACAGAGGCCCTAGCACAGGCTGGGCTGCCCTGCGGGAAATCGCACTGCCCTGGCAGGGCAGAAACAGTACCCAGAACCCACAGCCTGTCTCTTCCCAATGCCACCCTGGCTGCCCACAGAGGAGGGACACTGGATTAAAGGCCTCCCTCTGTCACTTACCAGCAATACACTTGTCACCTTTCTGGCCCCTGTTGGCCAGACTGTCCCTCGACCCTGTCCTGGACCTTGTGTTGTACTCCTTCAAGTACGTGACCCTCTTCAAGCTAAGGCTACACTGCACATAATCTAAGTTATTATGAAGCGGCTCATGTGTCCCCAGAGGATACTGCCAAAGCAGCAGTGATTTTGACAGAGATAAGGGTTTTTCCATAATAATTTAGTAGATTCAGGGATTCAGCCCACTGAACTGAGAGGAGACTAAAATGCATCTGAATTTTTATTTGGAGGGATCCGAATTTATTTTATTAATAGATCTGCTCATTTGGGGCTAAACTTTCCATTTATTGTGGATGTGCCCAGACAGTATCTTGGCTTCAATTTTGTCGGGAGCCCAGCTTCCCAAAATGAACATCTTAAAGCACCTGCTGTGGGTTGCGCGTTGATTTACAAGGTGACAGGACAGCTTGATCCCAGAAGGACCAGCCCTTTGCACTGTGACTGGATCTGCAATAAGACCTGCCTCGTCTTCCTGTAGGGACAGGGTTTACCACTCACTCCAGCTCCAGCTCTCCAGATGGCCCTTGAGGGCCACACAGCTCTGTAGGGACGGGGGGTGGGGCCTGCTGCTTCCCTAGTCTGAGGTCAGCAGGCCTGCGGATGGACAGGACATAGACCACAAAGGTGACTGGAGCCAGGAAATTTTTCGGCTTTTTAAAAAAATTTTATTGTTTTTTAAAATTATTTTTTGGTCACACTACACGGCATGTGGGATCTTAGTTCCCTGACCAGGGATAGAACCCACACACCCTGCACTGGAAGCGCGGAATCTTAACCACTTCAGAAGGAGGCAATTTCTGGATCAAATTCTGTTTCAACACACCCCAAGTGGCTATGTGAAGTCTTCTGCTATCAAGTGGTCCGGGCAGTACTGGGCACCCCTTGGCCCCAGCTGTGTAATCCTGTACTTGCTGAGAAGGGATCAATGGTGGGCATGAGAACACGTAATTCAGTAACATCTTCCCAGTGATGCCACCTCCTCTTGTCTGATTTGGGAAGACACTGGCGTAAATATCACATCTTTGTACTGGCATTTTCTTAAACTTCTGAAGGGAAGTTTTCTAAAACTTTGGAAGTGTGCTAGGTTCGGTAGGTTTAGGTTAGGGTGGCATCCCTCAAAGAATGTTTGATGGGCACCACCTCCAGGATGTGGGAGAAGAGCACGCACTCAGCAGAGCTTCCCTGCTACTTGTGTGCAACCCCGAGCAAAGTTATTCCAGTATCCTCTGCCAAAATGGCAGTAACGATGCTGTACCGATGCAGGGGATCTGCGGAGCCAGTCAAAGCTGACAGGGGCCAAGCCCCTTGCCCAGCCTGGCACCAAGTACACGCTGAGCAAATGGTGACACCGGTGACCACTGCTGCCGCCGGGCACCAGGAGCTTCCAGTGGGGTAAGATGAGCAAGGCTGCACACTCTGTCCCTCTGTGGGGTTCACGGGCACATAAATGTCCTGTCCTTCCACCAGGCCTAGTTGCACATTTCCTCACATCTTAACATCCCTGAAATCGGGGAAAATCTCACAGTCCGTGTCTTGTGATCACCACTGGCCTGGACCGAAATTGACTTCTTCCTGAGAGGATTTGTGTTTGCTCCCGCCAGTGGTCTGGGACACAGCTTCTGAGACCCCTTGGGGACCACATGGGTGGTGTGACCCCCCGCTGAGAACCAGCTTATGGTTCAAATGATCAGTACAAGCGTTTCTCCCTGCCTCCACCATGGCCAGGGGAGAGGCCAGGGGGCTCCCTGCTGTCCCTCTCTGGTGGTGGGTTTATTTCTCATCTTCTCCTGCACCAACGGTGCAGCCTTTCACTGGCACGGCTTCATGGAAGAGTCCCCATGACACTTCCCAACTTGGACACTTTTCCTTTCTCAGTAATATGTCAAATCCTGATGCATCTTCCACTTAAGGGTGTCTCTTGGATTTGATGAATATGGCATTAATGCCTCTAAGACATATTGCAGTAAAGATGCCTATTTGACTCTCTCAAATGTATTTGATGTTTCTTTTTGTCGCATCTATTAACATTCTACAGCAGAGGTACAGAAAGTGCCGTGTTTTTAATGAAAATCTGTTTTGACTCCTTCGGCAAAGCAAAGGTCTCCCATTGCCTGGCTAGTGTGAATTTTCAAATTCTACCCTTCTCTCAGGAGAACGCCTGGATGGTTTAGACTACACAGCATTCAGAGGTGTGAGGCCCGATGGGACGCATTCTGTAGAGCTGACAGCCCTGCCACCAAGCCTGGATAACACACATGGTCCCTAGCCTGGGGGGACGGGAGAGGCTGACACAGACGCCACACAGTGAGTGGGCCTGTGATGAGAGTGGGCCCGCAAAAGAGAAGACCACTGCCTCCTTCCACCCCTTCCACACACACCCCGTCTCCTCACCCCCCCACCCCCGGTCCCGAGAAAGCATCCAGGCCCAGGGCTTCTACAAACCAGGGGTCCCCCAAATGACTCCAAGTCTTTTCACCCCAAATCCTTCTCGCTCTGGTGGGTCAGGGGTCTTCCCTTTCCGTCTTGCTCCACCTTCCACTCTGTGTTATTGCCAGTTTATCTCATCATCTCTTCAGTGTGGGCTCTGATTCATATTGGGCTTTACTCCTTTCGAGGGGAGGGATTGACCATCTTGGGGGGTGCGTGGAACAGCTCTCTGCCCACCCCACTCCCACCCACTCTTTGCCTCTCTGGTTAGACTCTCCCTTTATACCTAGATCTTCGTTGTCTTAAGAGTCTTGTGGAAACTGCTTCTCTGGCAAAACAATTATCCTGAATCTAGCAATTATGTATCTCAGTGTTCCTTTCATAAACTCGCAGGCAAAAATTTAGTGTCAAACAAGGAATTTAGGAGCAAAACAGCTGAAACTCCCTCAGAAGCTCTTCCCAACTAAGAATGAAAGCTTTGCCGTTTCTCTGTTTTCCCTTCTTGCCTTGGCTCCCAGGAGGCTCAGCGCCCCATGTGATAGAAAACCACAATGGTTTACTTCCTCCTTGCCGCAGCAGTTAGGATGCCTCTGGTTACAAGTACTGGAATATCCAGGTAAAAGGCACGTGGACAATAAAGATGACTCACTATCCCATGAACAGGAATTTGGTGAGAGCTGGATCCAGGGTTGTTAATTCAGCAGCTCAGTGATAGCAGGGCTCAAGATAGCCTTCCTGTCCTTTGCCTGGCCTTCTCCTCACGGACAGAGACAACTGCCCCACACTGGGGCATCTCAAGATGGCCTCCAAGGAAGGAATGGCAGGAGCAACCTTCCCTCTCCTGACTGTCTCATCTCCTTAGGGGAACACACCCAATGTCCAGTCCATTTCACCTCAGGCCCCACTGACCCGAACTGGATCACAAACCCTCCCCCTCCCAGGTAGTCATTGACAGAGTAAGCGGGGTCACCCACGTTGGTTTGCATCAGTCTTGGTTTTCCTCCTGGGGAAACATCACCACCCCAGACTGAGCAAAATCAAGAGATCTGCTAGCAAGATGCCAGTCCAGGAAGGCTGCTGGCTGGGCCTACCATCTCCTCCCCTCCCTTTCTATTCCATCACCTTCATATAGATTCAGACTGCAAATGCATATTTATTGAAAGGAAGAACAGAAAGGAGGAGGGAGGGAAGGAAGAGCCCCCCCCATGCCAAGCAGACCCCCAGGATCGCACTGCATTTTACCCGAGCCCAGCAGACGGGCAGCGGGATCTGCGTCTTATTCCTGGGTGAGGACATCATTCCTTTGATGCCAGGATGAGTTTTGGCTTCGTTGCCTGAGTACTCTTTCCAAGTGAGAATAAATTAGGAACTTGGGCTCCGCCCCCCACACTCTCTGCAAATTGAGCGAGGCACAAGCTGGAGAGAAGAGCTCGAAATCCAGTCCTTTCTAGACAACCATTGTCTCGGGAACCCGAGTGTATAAAGAGATAATGGGCAACGTGCATCTCAGGGGCCGGGCTGGGTGCAGCAGAGGAACTGGCTGCTGCAGCCGGAGGCAGCAACGCAGTCGGTCACTCCTCTGTCCCCCCGCCCCCTCCAAGCTGCCCCTCCCTGGTTGCCCCTCCCTGGTTCCTCAGGGAGCCCTCCCACCCCCACCCCCACCCCGTGGGCTCCTGCTCTGGCAACTGCGCACACTCATCTTTTCCTCTCCCAGATCCTTCCCCTCATCTGCACGTTTCCCAGCGCCCCGCCCCCCACCCTAAACAGGCTCCCTCACCCCCCACCCCAGGCCCTGGAGAAGGTCACCTGGCTCTTCACCTAAGGGTCACTCTGCGCCTGGCTCTCCGTTGAGTCGGCACCTGCGACCGCAGCCGACGGCGGATGGAGAACCAGCCACCCGTCTCCCTGACATGCGCCATCCACACCTCTGCAGTCGTGCAAATCCCCATGCTCCTTTCTCCACCTCCCACCCTGTCCCCACCCTCACTCTCCCGAGGCCCCGCGTCTTTCTTCTCAGGGGAAACCGTCCTCTCCCACTGCACCCGTGGGCTCTGTCTCCCAACCCTGCTGCCCGAGGGGGCCCCGCTCCTGCCAAGGAACCCACTCCCTTCCTGGGCGCCCCCCTGCGCCCGCCACCCACCCGCCCGCCCCGCCACGTGGTTCTTCAAGGGTGTCCCTGCACCAGCTGCTGAGTTCTCTCTTTGCTGCTGTGATTCCAGCATCTTTAAAACAGCAATAACAACGAACTCTCCAGCTACCCTCCCATTTTTCTTCCTCCCTTTATAGAAAAACAAAACTCTCAAAAAGTTGTCTCCACCCAGTGTCTCAGTTTCTCTCTGGCGCTCTCAAACCCATGCCAATCAGATCACCCCTCACTGCCTGAAGCCACACCCTGCTTGCTGTCACCACTGCCCCGGGTGGCTAGAGGCCCGGGGCCAGTTCTCAGCCCTGGTCCCCGGAGCCCTTCCTGCAGCATGTGGACCACTCATCCCTGAAGCCTTTCCCACGTGGCCTCCGGGACACCCCTCCCCACCGCGCTGGTCCCCACCGCGCTGGTCCCCCCAGCACAGAGGCTGCTCCTCAGTCTCCCCTGCTGGTTCTTCTTAGCATCAAGGGCCCCAAGCCCCAGTTCTGGGCTTCCTCCCTCTCCGCCACCCACCCACCTCCACCGCCCCACCGGAGACATCAGTCATTTTCATCATTGCGGGTGCCCATTACCAGCTGATGGTTCCCAACCTGTGTCACCAGCTTGGACGTCACACCTGAGCTCCAGACACTGAGGACATCTCCCCTCTGTGTCTAAGGCTCATCACACAAACTGAGCTCCTGCTCTTCCCAGCCCCCTAACCCACCCCCAGATTTCCTATCATGGTAAAGGGCAGCCCCAAAGCCTGCAGCCCCCTCGACCCCTCCCCGAGTCTAGGCTCTCAGGGAATCTGGTCATTTCTACGTTGGAAATCCATCCAGAGCCTGAGTACTTCTCACCACTCCCACTGCTACCGCCCTGGGCCAGGCCACGCCCACATGTCCCCTGGTATAACTCAGCAGTCTCCTAAATGCCCTCCCTATTCTGCCCTTGCCCCTGGCATCAGCCCTCAACACGAGGGTCATGTGAAACAGAGTCACATAGGCCACTCCCCAGCTTAGAGTCCTTCCAGGCTCACACAGAGCAAAACCAAAGTCCTTGCAGCCCCAGAGGTCCCTTACAACCCACCCCAGCCTCCACCCCCACCATGCACAGCCCGTTGGTCAGATATTGGAAGAGCGTTGAACTGGATGGTTTGAGCTTCCTGGAGGAAGTGACTTTTAAGCTGAGCTCAAAGAAATAAACAGGAAATACCTAGATGAGCAGACATCAGTCAGGTCTAAGTAGGAAAACAGAGACTGCACCAAGTGTTTACAGTGGAGGGAACTGGTGACATGGATGATGGAAGAGCTGAGATGGGGG